TAGATAAACGGATAAATATTATTCTTTAATATATTTTATTTATATATTATTATTATTATTATTATTCCATTCTTTGCTTTTCCTTCAGTTTCGCGCAACTTTCCTTTTTTCTTATTAGTGTTCCAAAGTTTCCTCTTTTACTTTCCAGGAAACCTCCTGTGGTACAATTTTCTCCAACCAGCGTTCCCTTATATAAACCGTAACCCAAAGTTGGATTAATTGTATAACTACCTTCAGTCCAGGTTTGGTAATCATCTGTTGGGCTAGAAGAAATGAAGGGTAAGGAGCAGAACGCAAGAAGAAATAGCCCTAAAAATGGGATCAAAGTTGTGTATATCTCAAGCCCCATGAAGGTCAAGACTTGTGCCTCCAAGTTCAGGGCTCTAGTGCAAGAACTCACAGGGAAAGACTCCGAGGCTGCCACTGCCAAGGCGTTCGTTAATGACGCTAACAAGAATACTGGTGGTCTTGATGGAAGGAGTGGCGAATTGAGGCAGCCCATGTGCTCGGAGTCAAGGTTTGATGGTGCACTTGTGCCTCATATTGAAGATAGTTTTCGTGGGATGTTTATTCAAGTTTACAAGAACCTTCTCCGGTGGATGGGCTAAGAAGTTTCGGTGCTGTTGATTTTTGTATGAACTTTTGATTTAGTTAACTAGCTACTGTTAATTGGTCATACATTATTATTATTATTATCATTTTGTTATGGATATATTTTCTTGTCCTTGTAACTTGATTGTAACTTATTATTGTACTTGATTACTTTTATCTTCCCGCTTAAGTTTTATTTTTCAGTTGTAATAATTTTCATATTTATGGACAGGCGCTTGACATTTAAAAATTAAATTTTTATTAAAAATTTTAAGAATGTATCCCACACTTAAAAATAAAATAAAATTTCAGATGATTACCAAAATTTAAATCTTACTCAATAGCACTTAATAATGAATTGTCGCTTTGAGTTAAAATTAATATTTTTTAAAAAAAGTATACAGTTATTTCTTTGTTTTAAAGCAAGGGAAAATTTTGAGAAAAAGGAAAAATATTATAAATATTTCAATAAAAACTTAAATTTTAATATAAATTAAGATATTTGATGTATATTACCGACTCATTAGGACTTGTTAAAGCTATATAATTATTTCTTTAAATATTTTTAGAGGGGAGATTCAAATCTTGAACTTTTCAAGTCCTCAAACTCTCAATAATTATTAAATATTTTCGTCATTGAATGATAATTATTAAAAAGAAAAGAAAAGAAAAGAAAAGAATTACTAGATGGTGATCGAGGAAGTCTTAACAAAGGGCAACAAAGTCAATGCCGTGTCCGTGAGCATATGGAGGAGGTTACTGCGGGTGGATTATTTACTTTAGTCTTTATTGTGAGTGACCGTGTGCTGGTTGGGGAGGAAAAGGAATGGTGAGACAAAGCAGTAATCCACAAAGGCTGTGAATGAAATATGGAGGGGGCAGAGCAAAGTGAACCAAGACAAGGTGCGTG